GGGTCCGGCGGATTGGAAACGCCGGACCTCCGACACCCGTGCACGGTCGGGGGTCCGGTGTTCCCAAACCGCCCTACCCCCTCCACCCTTTCCGTACGGGGGTCCGGAGCATTGGAAACACCTGACCTCCGACACCCGTGCACGGTCGGGGGTCCGGCGTTCACGAACCGCCCTGCCCGCTCCGCCCTTTCCGTACGGGGGTCCGGAGGATTGGAAACGCCGTACCACCGACACCCGTGCACGGTCGGGGGTCTGGCGTTCCCGAACCGCCCTGCCCCTTTCACCCTTTTCGTACGGGGGTCCGGCGGATTGGAAACGCCGGACCACCGACACCCGTGCATGGTCGGGGGTCCGGCGGATTGGAAACGCCGGACCACCGACACCCGTGCATGGTCGGGGGTCCGGCGGATTGGAAACGCCGGACCTCGGACACCCGTGCACGGTCGGGGGTCCGGCGGACTGGAAACGCCGGATCTCCGACACCCGTGCACGGTCGGGGGTCCGGCGGATTGGAAACGCCGGACCTTTGACACCCGTGCACGGTCGGGGGTCCGGTGTTCCCAAACCGTCCTACCCCCTCCACCCTTTTCGCACGGGGGTCCGGCGGATTGGAAACGCCGGACCTCCGACACCCGTGCATGGTCGGCGGTCCGGCGGATTGGAAACGCCGGACCTCCGACACCCGTGCACGGTTGGGGGTCCGGCGGATTGGAAACGCCGGACCTCCGACACCCGTGCACGGTCGGGGGTCCGGCTCCGACACCCGTGTACGGTCGGGGGTCCGGCGGATTGCGAACGCCGGACCTCCGACACCCATGCACGGTCGGGGGTCCGGCGTTCCCAAACCGTCCTACCCCCTCCACCCTTTCCGCAGGGGGGTCCGGCGGATTGGAAACGCCGGACCTCCGACACCCGTGCACAGTCAGGGGTCCGGCGGATTGGAAACGCCGGACCTCCGACACCCGTGCACGGTCGGGTGTCCGGCTCCGACACCCGTGCACGGTCGGGGGTCCGACGTTCCCAAACTGTCGTACCCCCTCCACCCTTTCCGCACGGGGGTCCGGCGGATTGGAAACGGCGGATCTCTGACACCCGTGCACGGTCGGGGGTCCGGCGTTCCCAAACCGCCCCACCCCCTCCACCCTTTCTGTACGGGGGTCCGGCGGATTGGAAACGCCGGACCTCCGACACCCGTGCACGGTCGGGGGTCCGGCATTCCCAAACCGCCCTACCCCCTCCACCCTNCCTCCGACACCCGTGCACGGTCGGGGGTCCGGCATTCCCAAACCGCCCTACCCCCTCCACCCTTTCCGTACGGGGGTCCGGCGGATTGGAAACGCAGGACCTCAGACACCCGTGCTCGGTCGGGGGTCCGGCGTTCCCGAAACGCCCTACCTCCTTCACCCTTTTCGGATGGAGGTCCGGCGGATTGGAACCGCCGGACCTCCGACAGCCGTGCTCGGTCGGGGGTCGGGCGTTCCCGAAACGCCCTGCCCCCGCCATCCTTCCTGGGTGGGAAGGGGGGGGCATCGGAATGGAAACCCTCAACCCCCTGCCTCGGAAGGATGGCGACGGTCCGGCGGACTGGGAACGCCGGACCCCTCGACCATGCATGGTTGTGTGGTATGCACCGTTCCCGACACCCTCGCTAACCCCCCTTGCCGAAAAGATGGCGGGCGTATGGCAGGTCACGTGCCTTCTTGAATGTCTCGGACCACGTGCAAGTGTTTCTGTGTGGTGCTCATTGCTGTTCTCCTGCCCGTCTTTGTTTGCATTTGCCACCGGCAGGAAAATCTGGTGCGCTGACCTCTGCTCAAAATAAACGGTACGGCAGGTCTAAGACTTACAACAACAAACCGTGGGCTCTTGACTGGGTAGGCGGTTTGCATAAATCGGGGTGTGAGGCTGTTATCTTCTTGAGCGATGACAATGGCACCACTTGGTACTGTTGTGGGGGTGTGGAGAAATCCGAGGCGGGCAGGAAGACCTACGAAGGGAGGACGTTCAGGACCTTCTTCCTCACGTCCGTCTTCGACAGCGCTGGGACGGACTGGGTCAAGGAAGACAAGAAGGTCTCCCTTGACCTRCGTCTCTTCCAAGGATACAGCGTCAAGGCTTTCTCCATGAAAGCGTTTGACGTGCGTGGGGACGAAACTGAATTCCGAATGCTTTCTCCGGAAGAATTTATCAGCAAAACAAACGCCAACCGCGTCACTGGCTACCTTCCTGTTGTCGACAGTTCTTTTCGGATGAGCAAACCTTTGGTCCAATTCAGCAGTCCGATGGACCTGCTGCCAGGTGTGGTTAAGCGGTACAAGGAAAACTTCTCGAAGCTGCCGCCTGATCAGCAAACGGACTGTGTTTTTTTACCCTTCGAGGCGGGTTCCAAGAGTAGGCGACAAACGCCGCCCGCGACGACAGGGAAGACAAAGCAGTTGCCGGGTGAGCTGTCGGGCGCGAATCTTCCCTCGCCCTCCGTGAGGGGAGGTCGTGATTTGGCTCAAGGTTCAAGCGAGGCAACGGAGTTTGATGACAGGCTTCTGCACCAGTGCAATGTGGGCCGTGAGAATTCCCAGGGCAGTGCAATAGCCCTGGACGAGGACAACGACGAGGACGAGGAAGGAGGAATTGCCGGCCCGCATGACGACAGCGGTAATGAAGCAGATGTGGAAGTTGGGGATGACAACATGGAGGACCGGGGCGAGCTTGCTGACGAGGACGCCGACACGCCAATGCATGGTCATGACATCTCCCCCGCCGGCGCTGTGGGAGCCGCTATTGGTCAGCCCTCGACGTCCCGTGGAATTTCGCTATCGCAAAGCAGGAGTAAGGGTGGGCACGACTCACATGCAATGCAAGGACCGAAGGCGAGGAAAAGGACAAGGGAGACTTCTCCRTCTGCTTCTACTCACAAGAGGCAAGCCAGGACTGACGCTGTTAATGAGGCTCGTGGAGCTTTGACAGCGTCCCAGGAGGCGCGGCCTCCTCGGAAGAACAGCCAAGGGGGGCGATCTGGGGGTCAAGGCGGTGGCCGTGGGGGCGGTGGCCGTGGAGGGGCGCGGAAAGGCTCCCAGAGGGTGAGACCACAAGAGCTGCRGGACTCGGGGGATGAGGGCGAGGGAGTGGATCCTCGCATGCCCGAAGATGCTGATGAGCCGGTTCAGCGCGTCGCGCCCATCGACACTACGCGTTGTTTCTTCCTCGAATACGACGACCAAGGCTTTGCTACGCAAGACGTCCATGCTTTTCACGTGGACGTCATGAGAATCAAACGCATTCCCCGCGGAAGGATTCTTTTCAACCACCGCTCGTTATCTGAAAACATTGTGCGAGGCATCGAGAATGCCATCGAAAGCTCCATCAGCACGGACCCGGGGGCGTGGGATAGGCCCGAGCTCGTGCTTGCGCCACTTGACCGCAATGACATTGTCGGCGGCCAGGGAAGACGGATCACGCCGACTGAATTCTTGGAAAGGGACCCGGCAGAGTTCGACTGGTACGCTGTCTGTGGTCAGCATACCGTTGAGGTCATGAAGAGATTGGTCAGAAAGGGCTCCCCAGCAGTTGAAGTTTATGGCCTCAACGCGTACTCTAAGGTGCGGGTCGTCTATTTCGGAGATGATCAAACACGAGGGTATTTCAATGTCTCCTGCTTCGACAACACACGCGAAAATCGCTCCATGATGTTGTCATTCAAGGACGCTGTCCGTGACATCAGACAATGGTGGTTAGACAACAATAGAATCGAGGCCCCGAAAGCCAAGGTCAGCGAGAAGGATGAGGTGGCCGTTGCACATCAAAAGACGTGGCAGAACTTCTTGAGGGCCTGCATGGGGAAGGCAGGCGACAAGGCGTTTGTAAAGCAAGCTCTCGAGAATGAGTATAGTAAGGATTGGAGTAATAAACTCCGGGGCTACATGAACCTCGCCACATCCAGTGTCGTAGTGTGGCCGCTGGTCGAGAGGTTCTTCGAGATGTTCAACGAAGAAAAGCTGCCAGTTGGCGATGGCAAAATCCCGCTTGACATGCCCGGGAGGATGGAAGGCCGCCTGCCAGGCCCGTACACCGACGAGACCAAGGGACAAAGAACATTGTACCATTGCATATATGCAATAGATGGTCCCAAAGGCTCTACCGTGTCGTGGAAGGATCTTTGTCCTTCCTACTTCAAAAATTTTGGGGATTTGACATGTCGTGAGAGGGAAGTTGTGTTGCTCCTGCTCATGAAGGGGAAGGTGGTCGCAACGAACGTCAAGGTCTTGCCTCCAAGAGTAAACACAAAGTGCCTCCTCGACATCATGCGAAAGGAGCGGTACATGGTGCGTATGTTCAATTACGTTCTGTTCCGCGCCGAGGGAAGGGCGGACGACGAATGGAACGACACGTTCTTCATGTCGTACAAGGACCTTGAAGACAAGTATGGGCCAAACGGTCTGTGCGCTGCTGAATGGGAGAAGGAATGGAACAAGTTACATGTCAATAAGGTGAAGATGGTCCCTCGACGACTTGGAGGAGTGGAGGAGACAAGGCAAGGCGCGGGCTTGGGGCCTACGGTGGCAATGTATAAGGAGGCTCCGTTTCACCTTAAGGTCTTCATATACACTGCAATCGATAAGCTCGATTTGCTTCGCGCCGAGGTGAAACGGATCGCCTCCAGCGCGCGTCATATTGTGTGGGACAAGATTGGCAAACAAACGACGTTGCTACCTGTGTGCATGCCATCGAAAGAAGTGTTGGCAGCGCCAGACGACATCGTCGCTGCAGCGCAAAAATGACATGCAGGGCCGCCATCGTGGACATCCCATCCTCGAACTTCAGCACGGCGTGGACCTCTCACGGATTTGATGCCTTGCACACATTGATGACCAAGTGTTGTGGCCAGAATTGGGTCCTTTTCTTCTTTGCGCCGCAGAAGGTGCAAAGCGATATTCTGCGTCACTTGTTCCGCTGGAAGGACGTGGAAGTCATCCCCGGGACCTGGAAACGGGTGGACAGGCCACCGAACGACATCACACGATACGACAATATGGCTACGACGAGTCGAGATATGATGACCATTGTCCTGCACGCCGACGGAGGGGATCTGAAAAAAGTAACTGTCAAACCCCGACTCCACAACGACCTCACAACCGTGCACGTTGTGGAGGAGAAGTTCGGGAAGTGTTAAGGTAAACACGGTGGGATAGAAGGCGATGATAGTGCGGTGTATTCCATCTGGGAGCGAGAGCCTGGAAAGTTACGTTCGTTGTGCGGGTCATTTGTCGGAGAGGCGGAAGGTGTGCTTTTGTTGGGTAGAGCGCACGCAGGTCTTGTGTGGGAGTTATTACTGGCAGGTAATAATGTCCTTGTCTGCGATGAGTCGGCCAAGGACATTGCATATCTGACAAAGTTCGTCGATATACTTGTGAAGGATGAGAGATTCGCCTGTCATGTCGAGAAGCCACGTTGCAAACATCGTAGCAACAGGGACATGTTCCACAAGTTGGGACGCAAGAGACTGAAGGTGTGGGAATACCTGTTCCGCGATGCGCCGCAAGGACGGCTTGACGGGAATTACATCTATAGGAAAACAAAGGTGACAGAGACCCTGAAACATTATCATGGTGCTCTTACTAGCGCCTTTGAGACTTTTGTCGCTCGATGCGAGATCCTGAAGTTCGATCTTCATAAAGACCAGCTAATGTCCAAGGACTACGCTGACCTCGCGAAATCGGGTGACGGCTTTAACCCCGTCGACAGCGAGGAAGACTCTTCGAGGTCCGACCTCGAATTGAGCGATGGCAAGGGTGGTGAAGGTCCGGGCGGTGGCATGGTGCGGTCACACGATGAAGGGACCGTTCGCTCGCATGAAAGACCCGTACAGGTGACCGCCCCCAGTGTTGGCTCGATGGTGGCCCCCATGGAGGGCACCGGTTTGCCAAACATGGGAATATGTGGTCCCAATGATGAAGATGACATTGATATGCCAGGCGAGGCGTCGAAGCTCGCACCAGGCGATCCAATTCCTCCCGGCTATTGTGCTGATCCGACCACAATTTATTTCTTGGGGGGCAAACACGCCCGCACTGGTGAGGACCAGTGGGGCCATTACATCGTGTGGCATGAGGGCATTTTTGAGCCCTGCATCCAAGATGGGGAGTGGAAGATGGCGGTCAAATACACACGCGGATCGCAGACGTTTCGCCGGATGTTAAAGGACACTTGGCTGAAAACGACGGAACTCGCGATTATGTACCGCGTGCAAAAGGAGAATCCGGGGAAGAGCGAGGGCGCTGTCAAAGACAAGGCCAAAAAATTGTTTTCTGTATTGTGAGACAGTCAGCAGTTGGAGTACAATTGGAAATTTTACGCCCTGCGAACGAGTCTCTCATGTGGGTCAATCGACTGGAAGGTCAATCAAACTATCGGAACCATGGAGGAGAGCAGCTCTCAGGATGYCGTGCCTTTGTCGGCATCGCCCCCCGTACCCACGCAGGCAGGGCAGAGGGAGGATGACGGGAGTAATGTGGTGAAGACTCAAGAGGTTCACATGACGTCTATGCCACAAATCTTCGTCGACACGACAAAAACGTCCAAACGCATGGATGTGTCGAATGCATTGTCGTCAGATGCAGGTGCCACGTACGAGAGTTTATTACTGATATCCGCCGCATTAGAAGGTACATCCGAAATGCAGTCAGAGTCAGATGTTGGTCTGAGCGTGCCAGACAGTCAGTTGCAACTGGAGTTATGCACAGGCAAAGGTGATGCACAAGGACATGTGACACCACAGGGAGGGGCCGCTGCGGATGGTGGGAAGGGAGAGGATGTGGAGGGAATCCTCCATCCTCGCAATCTTGAGACCTTAACCGATGATTTCGATTATGGGGGTGAGGGCGGAAATTACGTGGTCAATACGAGGGGAGTGTGAAATGATCGGTGAGGCGGGACGGGGGCAATGGAGAGGGAGAAACCAACGATATGATTACAATGTTATTCTTTTCTTTGTTAATTGAAATCGCACAATTAACTCGTTTGTTTTTAGTTTCAAATGGAACTAGTATTAGTCTTTGTAGGCACTATGACCACCTGATTTTCTTTTATGTATATATATTTTTTTCGTCAATAGTACGTTCGACCTAATATGTTTAGGATACTTGCCATTTTCAAAGTGGATGTGTGTATGCGAATGTATTCGGACTCAGATCTCTCTCTCTCTCTCTCTCTCTCTCTCTCTCTCTCTCTCTCTCTCTCTCTCTCTCTCTCTTTCCGACTTGGATGTGTGTATGCGGACGTATGCAATGAGGGTGGCCAAGGTGTGAGGAATAAATGATTGATTGTATACGTGAATGTGGTAAATGCAAGTAAAAGATTAGAGAAACATTGAAAACATGCGTTGCTTACATTAGCTCGCACAAAGCATTTGGCCATGCACTCACCATCATTTCCCCATCCGCCCGCGTGAATGTCGTATTCCTCATGTTTGTGGTGTGCAATGCAAATGACAACAATTGATACAAGATTGTGCAAAAGAGGATGRACAATGCATCTCGCAACTTCGTCTTTATCAAAGAGGGAGACGGCAGCCTTGACGCGTATCATCCGCGAATACGGGAAGAGGTATCCCATAGCCACCACACACGACGTATACATGAACGAGGTGTTGCAACTCACTCGCAACGATTTCCTTTTACTCGCTGTAGAACGTCAGTGGTTAAACGACAATGTCATCAACTTTTACCTCAATCTCATAGCATTGGACAACTGGTGTAGAATACAACACGTAGAATGCGACGCGGAGAATGAGATAGTTATTAGAGAAGGAATGGGTCGCATTCCTAGAGTATCGGCGCTGAGCTCATTTTTGTTCGTCAAACTTTTCGACAATGAAATGAGATATAGAGGTCGAGAGGTAGAGCGCTGGTGTTAGGACGTTATCATAAGTGACATGGACTTGATTATTGCTCCTTTCCATATCGAACACAAGAACCACTGGACCCTTGTCGTGGCTGACTTCAGGAGGAGGAAATTTGAATTTTACGACTCCCTCGACCCCGACATGGAGTTGGCGAGAAAGGTGACCGGCGGGTTTGCAAAGTTTATATTTGAAAGATCGAAATCACAAGGCAAAGAGGTGGACACGAAACCATTCAATCACATATGGAATGTAGAGGGCATTCCGAAGCAACACGACACGAACGAGTGCGGGGTCTTTGTGCTAACGTACGCATCACTGTTGGCACGGGGCCAACTTCCACCTTTCTTTTTCACTGCTGATGATATACCCGCGATACGTCGCCGAATGGCTTTGGACACAGTGGCTCGTGAGTAGTGTGTATATGATAAYCCGTAATATGATTTGGAGGGGGGGCGGATGCCACAAGATGGTTTGTGACAAAAACAATGTATATAAGGTGCCAAATATTACTCGATACGCTGTGCCACTTGACCCTTGCAATTTACCACATATCCCTTATACCTCACACCTTACACCGTACCCCGTTCACCTCACACCTTGCCCCTTACACCTTACCCCTTACCCCTTACAACTTACCCCTCACCCCTTACACCTTACACCTTACACCTTACCCCGTACCCCGTACCCCATACACCAAACATCTCTTTGTAATGGTTTTTGCACCTAAATCAGCTCAAAAATGACAATTTCAATTTCGTTCAAAAAATATAAAATGTCCGTTTTGACGAAATCGCTGTTAACCCCCCTACGCTGTTCACGATCACGACAAAAAGAGGACTTATGAAGGGCCCATGGGAACAGGACAGGTGCACGGGGTGTGTGCACGTCCCCCCAGGTCCCCATTGAAAACAGAAAGGAAAAAAGAAAAATCGGGGTGGACCCCCTACATGAAAAGACAATGCAAAAAATCAATCAATCAATCAGTCAAGCAGTCCATCCATCCATTAATCCATAGATGAATGAATGAATGAATGAATGAATGAATGTCATTGAATGAATCAATCAATCAAACAGCCAGACTGAGTCCATCAATCAATCAATCAATCAATCAATCCATCATTCACACACACACACACACACACACAGACACACACACACACACACACACACACACTTGGTTTTGTGCGTGCATGTGTCCCCCTGAGTGTGTGTGTCACAGTGTGTGTGTGTGTGAGAGAGAGAGAGAGAGAGAGAGAGAGAGACGGGGAGAGAGAGAGAGAGAGAGAGAGAGAGAGAGAGAGAGAGAGAGAGAGAGAGAGAGAGAGAGAGAGGCAGAGCTAAGGACGTTGCTGAGGTAAACACCATAATGATTTTGAATGTATCTGGACAGCGCTATCCAGATACATTCTGAATGTTGGCCAGATGGTGGGCCATATTCATCACAAATGCTGTGTACTGCATAGATGGTGCAAATTTTTGTTTTTGATTCTTTTTCAAATAGTAAATTAGGACCCACCCCCCTCCCCCCAAAAAAGTTGGGTAGCTCATTTGCAAGCGCAGCTCCCTGTATTTGTTTCTTTTTTTTTTTTGGCCATTTCACAAGCATCTCCACAGTCTCGTTATTGAACAAAAAATCCACCTTGATAGCCTTCCCAGGGGTGATGGGAAAGGCCTCACCGTAGGTAATGAAATTTATAATGATGATATAATGGTCTTCTTTGTTTGCCAATGAATGGAGCCAAACGTAGGCCCCTAAAATGGAAGGATTTTCCCTTCAAGAAAAGCTAAATTAAACATGATAAGAATACGCAGGTGAAACCCCCCCCTAGGTAACCAGCTATAGGGGCTCCACTTACGACAGTTAAAAGTAACACAGTCAAAAGTGTAGTCTCCATGGTTAGGTGTCCCCGAAAATGTGGATCCTCTAAGTCATCCCCCCACTGGTTGAACATGCAAATCAGACACTTCCCGAGGCATAGAGCCCAGCCGCTACTACCACATGGATCTTTGGGGAAAAAAAAAAAAAAAAAAAAACCAAGCCGGGAATGGCCCCCCGGTCAGCCATGTATATTCGGCATGCTGGACCCGGTTTCCAGCAGGTGAGGCCCCCCATGAATAGATATTAGAGCAACCTGCGAGGCTACTACTGCTGCAATGGGGGATGCTCATATAACCCATAGTCCCCAAAAAAAAAAAAAAAGGAAAAAAAAAAAAAAAAATCACCCACAGCAGTACGGTAACCCCTGGTAGGTCTCGGAAGGAAGAAAGAGAGAGGAAAAAAAGGCAGGTGGTTTTGTGGAGGGATTCGACTGATATTCCTATAATGAATTGCCAATTACAAAAAAAAAAAAAAGGCAGGTGGGATGCTAAGCTGGAAGATGAGAGGGGATACCGGCGGCTCGTGAAGCTTTATAGACAGCACACGGTGTGGGTGGCTGAGAGGGTAGAACAGCAAGTTGTCTCAGAAGAACAGGCGAAGGATGAAAAAGGGGGTCAGAAAAGTGACGGACTTTTTTGACAATCCCATCTACGGAGCCCCGTAATTATGATGGTTTGAGTCATACTATATTTTTATTATTATTATTTTTTTTTTTCAATCAAACGTTGAGTCATAGTAGTAAATTATCTGCTCTGATCCCAGCCACTAGTAGAGAGGCAACCACCTTAAGGACAGGAACTCATTGGCAGTGAGGTGGGCAGGAAGCAAGCCAGGGCTGCGAGGCAGCAATGAAGGTTGAAGGCAACAAGGCAACCACCAGCCAAGCATAGGCCCTGGGTTGAGTAGGACTCAGTAGGTAGGCGAATGGCAATGGAAGCCACAAGGCGTCACAAAAGCATCAGCCAGGTGAATGGGGGAGAGGGGGACGAGCAAAGAGAGCAACAGGCCACAGGCACACGATTTTGCGCTGCCTGAGTCCTTCGGGACATATCCGTTAAAATTGGAACGATACAGAGAGAAAGAAGATTAGCATGGCCCCTGCGCAATTCAGGACGACACGCATAAATCAGGAAACGATACGGGCACATTTGTTTTCTTGCTAACTGTGCTTTCTTTTTTTTTTTTTTTTTGGAAAGCATTTGAGTTTCAATTATACACAACAGGTAGGGCGAGGCCGGGGACCTCACAATTCAACCCGGAGTTATCCTGGCAGCATCAGCCAGATTCGCTTACGAGCCCAGCTCGCCTAGCAAACTAGCTGCTCTTATAAGACTATCGATCTCAACTTCAAACCCCTAGGAAAGGCAAAAAGGCCGCTGGAAACCGGGTCCAGCGTCCCATCAATGAATACTTTCCAAAATATAGTCCTTGATGCTAAAAAAAAAGGGTTGAGCTGGCGAACAAAGCCTAGCTCAGTCATTCTCAAGGCACCTGCTGTGCCTTGAGGTAGGCCCAGGGGAACCTCATAAAACCAAAACCTTTTCTCCAGGTATCCTGAGTATGCTTCGATCTTTGACATGCCTTTATTCTTGCAGCTCTCATGACTGCCCTGTAACTGTCTGAGAAACTGTCCTGGCCTCTTACGGCCTATACAGTTGGATACTGTGTATTACAGTTCGGGCCTACCGCTCGCCGCTCGGCCCTTTTCCACATCTGCGGACAAAGAAACGCCCTACTGCCCATTTAGCACAGCCACGGAGCAAGGCTCACTAACTGTGCTTTCCTATTATCTTGGGATGGGTTTGGGGCATGGTCCCACCAGCAAAGAGGATCGGATCGAATGCCTGAATCTGGACGTGTTTGTACAGAGGTGCAGGAACTCGAGATTGAACTGCTTTTCTGCATCTCTGCATAAACACATCCAGATTCATGCATTCGATCCGATCCACGTTGCTAGTGGGACCTCGGCCCTGGATTTGTAGGAGCTAGAGGCTGCGCTGTGCGTGGCAGAAAACAGGAAGTTCAACGGGAAAAGATTCATTTCGATTTTGCCCATCCTACCGATGGAAGTAGCATCTCGCTATCTCTCTGCGCGAATGGCTCGGAAGCAGTATATATTTCTAGTTTACACCAGAAGATTCATTCGGATTAACAAACAAAAAGAAAAAGAAGGAAAAAAAAAAAGAATTGCAGTATCTTACTCATCTGCTTCGAGTGGAGTTTTTTTTTTTTTTTTTTTTTTTTTTTTTTTTTTTTTTTTTTCCCCAACGGATCAGATGAACAGATACTACACTTGATTCAGTTCTTCTGAGAAAAAACAGATGAATAAGAGTTCTTTAGCCAAAAGGCCGAGAAAGGTATCGAGTGGAGTGTTT